TTTTTCAGAGGTCTAAAGAAGCACCAGGAGTTGTTTTCTAGATATAATGTGTAGTTTCAAAGGAGGAACTCAGAACACAGAAAGTGAATAATTTTCAGATGAGTTTGTACATTTTTGACATGTGAGTTCCTCTTGGGCATAATCTTATAATAATAATAATAATAATAATAATAATAATAATAATAATAATAATAATAATGATGATGATGATGATGATGATGATGATGATGATGATGATGATGATGATGATGATGATGATGATGATAAAGTTGGAAGGGACCTTGGAGGTCATCTAGTCCAACCCCCTGCTCAGGCAGGAAACCCTATACCATTTCGGATAAATGGCTATCCAGTTTCTTCTTAAAAACTTCCAGTGTTGGAGCATTCACCGCTTCTGGAGGCAGGTTGTTCCACTGGTTAATTGTTCTAACTGTCAGGAAGTTTCTCCTTAGTTCTAGGTTGCTTCTCTCCTTGATTGGTTTCCACCCGTTGCTCCTTGTCCTGCCTTCAGATGCTTTGGAAAATAGCTTGACTCCCTCTTCTTTATGGCAGCCCCTGAGATATTGGAACATGGCTATCATGTCCCCCCTCGTCCTTCTCTTCATTAAACTAGACATACCCAATTCCAGCAGCCATTCCTTATATGCTTTACCCTCCAGTCCCCTAATCATCTTTGTTGCTCTTCTCTGTACTCTTTCTAGAGTCTCAACATCTTTGACCAAAACTGGATGCAGTATTCCAAGTGTGGCCTTACCAAAGCATTGTAAAGTGGTATTAATACTTCACGTGATCTTGATTCTATTCCTCTGTTAATGCAGCCTAGCACTGTGTTGGCTTTTTTGGCAGCTGCTGCACACTGCTGGCTCATATTTAAATGATTGTCCACTAGGACTCCGAGATCCCTCTCACAGTTACTCAATAGTAGTAACTCTTCTTAAAGAGGGTGGGACTTGTGTTGATGGCAGTACTTTCTGTAAGGTTCCCATAGTCAGAAAGAAGCACCATCAAGTCCACCCATCCTACATAGCTGTGTACTATCTCTGCTAAAATCTCCTCAGAGTCACCAAACCTAAAGTGGCATCCTTTGTTTCCTTCTTCAACCAGGTGCCCTCCAGATATATTACCGTTCCTCAAATTATTAGCCAGCATGGCTAAGAAATGGCTGGCAAGTCTGCATGCTATCTAGAAGATGCCAGGATGGAGAAGGATACCATAGAGGATTAAGTTGTCTGTCCTTTGCAATAAGAATAATTTACTTATTTATTAGATCCACAGGAAAGTAAGGCTACACTAAAACTGAACTCAGCAATTTGTGATTCAGGAAGTTATAAGAATTCAGCTTTTATCTTCATATGCTGGAGAGACCAGTACACTATGTTATGACATCATATGGATTGTTGAAGCATTGTATGTTAAGATGATCATAACTTAGGCTGAGTGTTAGCATATTGTATGAACAACCAGATCACAGAGCCCCATGTGTTGTTTCCATTCCATTGTGCTTCATAGTATTAAAACTTAAAAATAGTATAAAGTCTTACATTCATTTATTAAGGTGGTTAGTTCAATTAAAAACATGTTCTTATTTTTATTAACTACATTCTACAGTTGTCATTTTTTTACCGTTCTTCTTGTAGATTAAAAAGTCACTTAGGGGCTCTCAGGTTTAAAATAAAATCATTTTGAATATCTAGCTTTGATGATCGTACAATACTATGATGAACTGCCTTATACAGTATGAATTGGTAGGTAGACTGAAGATTTAAATGCTTTTTACCTTTATAAGATAGCATGGTGGACTACTATCACACAAAATTGATCTGAAATCTAACTTCCTTTTCGGGAATTAAAATTAGGCTTCATACCTGATTTTTAAGAACTTCACTTACCAGCTGCAAATAATAGGAAAATATAAAAGGTCTGCATCTTGTTCCTTTTTTGATTGAATGACTGTCTGCAAGTTTGTTGTAGTGGTCTGTGATGCCTTCTGTTTCTTGTATGGTAAGAAAAGGCAAACGTGTGTTGTGTATATATATCCATACACAAAGACCCATATGTGCATCTGCCACACCTAAGGTATTCAAAGGCAGTAAACATTTGTCATAAAGGAAAAAGGACCTTAACCAAACAAAAATGTTCTGGAACATTTCAATCCATTGTTTGAATTTCCCCATTTTTTTGTGAGAAGCAGTCAACACCAGAATTGATGGGCAGACTAGCTTCCTGGATTGAGTCACAACAAAAGGAAGAAATCTTTACAGATAATAAATAACGAAAAACAAACTTAGCATTCATCTTGTTCCAAGTATTGTTGGGCGCTAAATGCAACAAGAAAGTGCATCTCAGTGGTCAATCTCAAAAGGCTAACCACGGTCAGACCTGATTCAATCCTTGAATGGAAGGCCACCAGAAAGTCCTAAGACTACACACTAGAAGGGGGGAAACATAAAGGCTATCTTAGGAAATGTCTCATTCCAATAGGATTGATCTGCCCCATTCACTCTGGCAGAAGGGGCAGGCTGTGGACCCCATTGGCCAAGGAATTTCAGCTAGTGGGATACAGGAGGAGAGCCTTTTCTGCTGTGGCCCCCATCCTTTGCAGCATCACGCCAATCAAGATGAGATTTACTCCCCTCACCCCCAGCCTTCTGAATGGGCCTGAAAACCTGCCTCTGCTGATTGGCTTGGGGCCTTGATGGGGCCGTCCCACTCTGGAAGTGATTGGTAGATTAAGAAGATCCCACCTCCATCCCACTTGTGCATTGGTTCCTTATTTAGTTTTTTGTTAACTTTTAATATTCAATATTTTAACATTCTAATTGCTTTACATTGCTGTTTTATGATGATGTAAGCTGCCCAGAGTTGTTCAACAGTGAGATGGGCAGCATAAAAATTTAATAAATGAAGGATTATATGAAATGAAGGGCAAAGATAATCCACTTCCATACAGTCCATTTCCATACATCTTTTCCAGGTCACATCTACTCAACCCATGAGAGCGGGGAAGCAAGGAATGTTACAGATTCCTTTTCCTAAAGAGGTACCATCTAGTGCAGGGGTCTTCAAACTTGGCCCTTTTATGACTTGTAGACTTCAACTCCCAGAATTCCTCAGCCAGGCATGTGTGCCTGGCTGAGGAATTCTGAGAGTTGAAGTCCACAAGTCATAAAAGGGCCAAGTTTGAAAACCCGTGATCTAGTGGGACTAAGAAGAGATTTCTACATGGTGGCTCCCTCCTTATGGAACATCATCCCCATAGATCAGGGGTGTCAAACTGCTGACCTGCGGGCCGGATGCGTCATGCCGAAATTGCGTCCACCCCAGCTCGGCAATGGGAAAAAAATTGCGATACGTCGCGACACGTCACGTGACATGGCGAGTTTAACACCCCTGCCATAGAGATAAGATTGGCCTCCACTTTGACACTCTTTCACAAGGCCCTGAAGATCTGATTTTCCCAACCCAGAGTGGGATGGAGCCTATCAAGGGGCTTATTCAATTGATGATTATTGTCGATGGGATGTTATTGCTTTTTATTGTTTCTTTTATATTAGGTTTTTATCTTTGTAAGTTGCCTGGAGTGCTGACAGTGAGTTGAGAAGCCATATCATTTTCTCAAATAAATAAATACTGCTGTTAAGATAAGTACATGAACAACACATAAAAAAAGACCTTTAAATGGTTTCAAAACTGAGGGGAATCACACATCTTAAGGAAGTTATGTTGTACAAAATATGAAGGATTTTGAGGTTGAAGGTTTATTCTCTGAGCTTGTGGGTTGGTTTCCGGACAAACTCCGCTGAAGATGTTACCTAACCTGGTAATGAAACGTTTGGAAACAAACCCACAAACTTAAAGAACGTACCTTCATCCTCATTCTACACCTGAGCTACAGATATTTGCCACTAATGAAGAATCTTTTCATGGCTTTCAGTAATGAAAAAGTTTAAGATCATTGAAATGATTCCAGACACCCTGTTAGAGGTTCTGGTCTCCACATTCAGGCCTGAATAAGGGAAAGATCTCAGATGAGCTAATTGTGGAGCTGCAGTGCCACTGAATGATCGTGAGGAATCCTTTTGATGTTAGACCAGTGATGGTGAACCTTTTAGAGACCGAGTGCCCAAAAATTGGCCCCGCCCTCGCTCCACCCCCTGCCCCGCCCCTGCCCCCCCACCCCACCTGCCCGCCGGGCCACTCACCGCCTCCAGGGCCCGCTGCAGATCACCCAGCAGCGCCATGGCAGCCACGCCCTCTGCCCACGCCCCGCAGCATCATGCATGATGGGGCATGATGGGGCATGAGGGCTGCCTGGCTGCCATTCCTTGACTGCACTGCTCCGTGTGGGCCACGCTCGGGGGCAACCCTTCTCCAGGAGGACTGCTGGTGAGGAGGGTGTCAGGGGAGAGGCAAGGCTGGGGCAACGACATGTGTGCCCAAAGAGAGAACTCCGAGTGCCGCCTCTGGCACCCATGCCTTAGGTTCGCCACCACTGGTCTAGACACTGGGTCCCCAAGTGAGCAACTCTGAATGGGGGGGGGGAGAAAAAACAAGCTGAAATTCTCTCGCTTATTGTCTTCAAGAGGGAAAGAATGGAGAAAGAGATGAGCAGAGACATTGTGTGTATGTGTGTGTGTGTAACAATGAAAGGTCAAGCCCACACAAGAATCCATAAATGAAGCAGTGTGATTAGGTAATCTTGTGATCCCAGATCTTCCAACTAGAAAATATAATCCTTATGGAATGATAAGACATTACGGGCTAAGTTCTCTTCTCAACTCAATGTTTTTATCTGGTTTTTTTTAACTCTAAAACTAATCACCTGCGTTTGTTTTTCAAGAAAAGTAAACTTGCCTGCTTTCTTTGTAAATGAAAAGGGAGACTGTTTGGCGTTCTGTTGGTTGACAGACATCAATCAATAGTAAAATATTTGCTTTAATGTCTCGTTTGATGCCAAATGTCCCGTCTCCAGCTTTATCTTCATGCAGGTGGATTATTTCCGTAATCTGAGAAATGAATTTGAATCCTTTGCCCATGAATATAATAACAATTAATAATTGTTAATATATAGATAAAATGGATTCGTCAACACTGAAGAACCAACCTAGAACTAAGCAGAAATTTCCTGACATTGAGAACAATTAACCAGTGGAACGGCTTGCCTCCAGAAGTTGTGGGTGCTCCAACACTGGAAGTTTTTAAGTAGAGAGTGGACAACTCTTTGTCGGAAATGACATAGGGTTTCCTGCGTGAGCAGAGGGTTGGATTAGAAGACCTCCAAGGTCCCTTCCAACTCTTGTTATTCTGTAACGTTGTACTATTATTGCAACTGTTCTCTGTAGGTTTTTGCTAGTGAAATAAAGACCAAAGCCCAGAATGAATTTTGTCAGCTTTGTATGAACCGGTAATGGGAGTTGTGATCCAAGAACACCCAGGAGACTTCTCTATTGCCATTGCCACCTCAAAGTTCAAGGTTGAAGAGCATTGGAGAACATTGGAGACTTCACTGACCAGCTGGTTGTGCTCCTATAGTGGGGGGAAAAAGTGAGGAGATAGAAGGGGCCTTCTGAATGGTTGATCCATTAGATTTTATTTAAAAAAAACCAGTGTATTTTCAGTTAAATTGTAGGGGTTCATGCATGCAAGGAGCTCAATCCTTTGTCTAGGAGAATACTTTGTTCGGAGTCAATTTTGAGGAGGCAGGATCGCTGGTTGAGCAATATCTGAAGAGAGTTATGGTTCTCCCACCTCTGTAGTAGTTCCTTCTTAGTCCAACAAATGGAACCTGCAATCAAAGTTTGGGCTCAACCAGATTTCTTTTTACAGGTTTACAATGAAATTACTTCTGGAAGCGTTCCACCCCTCCTCATAATGTCATCTCCAGCCCTAAGCGCACCCTCTGTGGGCCAAATCTGAACGAACAGCTTGGGAATGACTTGACAGTCAAACATACTTTGGGTACTGTATTCTCACGCACAACACACATCCAAATAAATTGAGTGTCAGCAAAAGAAAAAGAGGGCCAGGCAGAGTAAGGTAAATGGCTCATATGTTGCCTTGCCAAAAGGCTGACATGCTGACCCAGCAAGATGCACAAATAACTATAAGCCAAGGATTGTTATTAGCGGATGGGTGAAGGTGTCCTAAAATGAGGTGAGGGAAATGGATATAAGATTCAGCCTGGGACTTCAGTAGAGAAAAGCGAGGGGAAATATCTGCCTCTCATATATCAATTTGATCTGGCCATTCGAATCTGTGGTTACAAATCTCCAAGCGTCTCATGAACCGATTGCACAGTTTCCTAATAATGCAGCTATCTTCTGGAGCAGATGACATACTTCTTTAAAACGGCACAGGGCAACCGCATGGAACCTAAAGGGAAATCATTTCTCTCAAAGAAAT